TTATCTTTGGGATTACCAGCATCCTTGTGGCAGTACTGTTGGATCTAGCTTCCTCCTTCTGTGTCTTCTTAGATGTACTTCCCCTAACCTCTGGCACCCACTCTGCTTTACATACATGTATGCACTCACACATGCACACATAATGCCCAATTTGCTTTACCTTACTTTGCAGAAATGTAATTGATATCCAGGAGTGATGACTGGTGCCTGTGTTCCCGCAGTTGGAAATGCTGAGACAGGAGAATCGCCTCAGGTTCAAACCTGGACTACAGAATAAGACCCACAAATGGGCTTCACTCTGAGTGATCATTTCAAATGGAAGCATAGTTTTTGCTTTGTTTTGTTTTAAGCAAAGTTGTAATAGTTATCAAAAAAATCAAAAACAAAATCACCCCAACCTCGCACACCAGGTCTCTAGTTTGAGGCAGGAAGGTAGGACATCTTTGCAGCTGTAGTTAGCAGCTGGCTGAGGCCACGTGTAAACAGCAATTTTCAGAACTGGCATGCATGCTGGGGCTTTTGTAGCGCCAAGGAGTGAGTATGTGGAGAGCTTTGGTGTTTAGTTAAATTATGGGTCTAGATGCAAAATTTCACAGCATGGTCTTGAGAGTCTGACCAAGCCCTGCTTTCTCATGTACAAGGTGTAGATCTCTCTCTCTCTCTCTCTCTCTCTCTCTCTCTCTCTCTCTCTCTCTCTCTCACACACACACACACACACACACACACACACACACACACACCTATCTATACATCACTTCACAGAGGAATACCCTAAGCCATAAAGAGAGAGAAACCTTTGAAGCCTTGTAGTCTTTTTGGGTTCGCAGGGCTCTTGGATAGGTCCCTTGTGTCCCCAATGGTGCCAAACACTCCAATATAAAGATGTCCTGCAGCTGCCCACCACAATCCCCGACGAGGATCATTTTAGTGCACAATGGCCAGTGTTCAAGACTCCATGTGTGGAGCCTGCTGATGTCAAGGGGAAGCTCCACTCCTCTTTTCCACAGCTGGACTCCTTGGGCTGGTCATACCCTGAGATGCATCGGAAGATGATGCCAGTGTTTCATTTGCCAGGTGGAAAGGATTTTTCATAACTCAGATGAGCATAGAGTGCATACTTTTTCCTAGGCACTGTTTCCAAGGTCAGGGGAAGGTTACAGTTTGGAGGGCTACTGGATAGTTTTGAGGAAATAGAAGCTAGGACCCCGAGCACACACCAGCATGCTTTATTACACATGAGCACACATGTGCACCCTGAACTTCTATGCACAAACCTTGCATGCTGTTTATGCGACTGTGTTGACTCCTGTTTAGTTCTATGGGGAGCCTGAGCACAACATCCCAGCCCTCCCTGCTTTATGCCCTCGTTAGTAGTCATGGAGATGGAAGAGAAAGAGGGAAGAATGTGTGATTGCAGGTCCTCTCCCTTCTGCATCCCTCACCAGAATGCAAATCACAGAGTGGTCTATAGCTCATTTGGCAGTAATGGTGTCAAGATTCCCCAAGTAGATCATCTCATTGCCCATCAGCCACCCCAGAGCCCCTGGTGGGGGAAGCTCATGATGCTCTGCCCCCTGCCTCCTGGCCATGCTCCCCTTTCCTAAAGCAGCTCACCAAGCTAACGTTTCCCCTCTGGCTCTTTCATGTCTGGAAGGTTCTGATGAAACCAGTTTCTTTTGAGTGTTGCTGAGGAGTGAGAGCCATTGCTCTGTCTAAGCTGGCTCCTGGAAAGGATGTTTTAGTAACTCTGATGCTTTGGTGCATTGTCCAGGGCCTGGCTTTTCTCATCCTCCCAAAAAGGGAAGGGTTGTAAAAGCTTTTGGGGAGAGACTGTGTAGATTTATGGTTTGCTGCCTGTCTCCGTGTTTAGGGCTCTGTCCTGGCACGCTCACAGCTGTCAGGCAACAGTGGAACGGGTGGGAAGGGATCTTTTCATTTCACCAGTTGCTGAGCTTCAGGAGTTTAGATGAAGACAGGGTGGTCGTTTTTCTTCTCTGGGTTCCCAGGAATGTTTGGAATCTAGGTAGGGCCTCTCGACTTCGTGTTGCCCATCTCTAAGCAGTGAGGAGGCCACATAGTTTCTGCATTGGAAGGTCCCACCAGAGGTGCTTTTAGGGCCTGCATTAGGATTTTCCTGAGGTCATGTTAACATTTCTTTACAGATATTTAATTACTTGGTTGGAGTTTTAAGAGGGGGGCACAAAATTAAAGCATAGGATTATTAGTTTTTACACAGAAATGAAAAAGTGTTTTTGAAATTACTGAGGTTTAGGATGGGGTGATAGGAGTCAATTTGTTTTTAACACTATTTGTATAAAATGTTTTTCTGCTGTGCATTTATTTTAAGTGTAAAGGATGAATTTAATAATTGGCTCGGGTTCAGTTGTAGTGACTGCTTAGCTGTCGTCTTCAGTGTGCCCTGCTAGACTCTTTGGCATATAGTATTTAACTTGGGCCCCTTGGGAGCTTGTGTGCTAAGCTAATTATTATATCTCTGTTTTACAGTGGATTGAATTCCATGTTCTCTTAGAGCGTATGCTCCTATGCCCAACCTTTAATGGGTCTGTTGAGTGAATATATTGGGGAAGTTAGGTTAGTAGAACTTGCCTATTAGGAAATATAGGAAGAGATTGAAATCCGAAGAAGGCCCACATTTGTTAGCTTTGCTCATGGCTGTGGCTGACTGCAATTTGAAGGAGCAGAGATTTACTTTTGGCTTGAGGTTTCAGTTCAGTTTAGTGGAGGGAGCAGCTTCTAGCATGGAGACCTGGGAACCAGTGTGGGGCAGCGAGAGTGAGCGTGGAAATGAGCGAATGTGCCTGGGTTCGTTGCATTTCTCCCTTTCCTGCTCTCATTTCAGTGGGCCCCTGGTATCCAGTTCCTCCGGTATCCAGGCAGACCATTCCCCTTTCGTTGCTGTTTAGTACCTGTCAGTCGATGCTAGAAGTGCTCTCACAGACACACTCTGCTGATGTCTTCAACTCTTGCAGTCTAGTTGAGTTCACAGTCAAGATCAACCATGACAGGGCCTTGATAGAGTTTGACCATCAAGGAGATCTTGGTCTATCAGGAGGACTTAAAAGCAGATGGATGAGTGTCAGGAGCAAAAAGAGGTTGCAGCCAGCTCCTCGGGAGAGCCTGGGAGGTGGACACCTCGTTTTGGATCCCAGCAGAATCTTTTCTAGAATGTCCGCATTGCCAATTTCATTCTTAGCCTTGGTCGTCGGAAGAGAAAAGTAGTGAACGCCAGCTTGAGACTCGTAGGGTTCCTACACAGCAGCAGGAAGCAGCTGGCAGGACTCAATATGTCCTCCTGAAACACTGCTCAGTTTCCAATGGGATCGGCCATTGACCATGTGACTTTCGTGCCCACTGAGAGCTGCCTATTAAAGCCTAAGCTTCCTGAAGTCCGGACGCCTCTTTATGACTTAGTCAACTCAGTATTGAACTCATGAGGGTTGGGTAGCAGTGGCGGCAAAGGGCACTTTGTGGACCTGATACAGCACCTTGTGGAGTAGAAGAGAGAATCCCAATCCAGGACAGCGAGTCCCATCTAGAGTTACAAGCGCAGTGAGACACCCGTGCTGCGTGACTTGTGGTGTCTTTCTCTTCCAGCATGTCATCAACGTGCCAACCGGGTGATTTGTTGTGGGTGGGTTGGTTCATTTCCTTATCAAATATTTTGAGGATCCTGGTGTGATAGATATTCAGGAAGGTGTGATACCAGTCCTGTATCCTGCATCCACCAGTAGCAGCGTAGATGACACCTATTTTTTTTTTCTTATGGTGAATCTTGGTGTCCACTGAATTTTCCTACTTTTTTTAAAAATTATTTTATTAACTCCCGTCTCCCTTTTCAAGACAGAATCTCAGCAGTCTCAAACTCTGCTCTCCTCCTCCTCCTGCCTCCTGAGTTATGTGCTCAGAGTTGTGTACCTGCCTTTCAGTTTTAAATTTTGACATCTCTACTAACTAATTTGTGTGTGTGTGTGTGTGTGTGTGTGTGTGTACGCACGCGCACAGCTGTGTATGGATGCAGTGTCAGGTGACTTCAGAGGAGGTGAGACTAGTGTCAGTCTGGCTGGGATAGCACATGGATATTTTGGAGTTGGAAGAAGGTCATGGAAACTTGGAGGCTGGTTGCAGCTTTCCATGGGATGACCTGGGAGTGGAGAGGTGTTCTAGGGAGAGAGATCTGCGAGAATAGCGGTGCGGACGCCTGGGGGTTAGTGAGACTGGCATAGGACTCATCAAGGTGAGCTGCAGGCAGTCCAGGGGGCTTTGAAAGCCTTCAGGGCAGGGCTCGCAGGGTGGTCCCTATCGACAGGCATAGGCCAGCACGAGAAGAGCTGAACGTAGAAAGCTCCTTTGAATTGTATGTACATTTTTTTAAGTAAGAAGGATTGAGCCAAGGCCTTGAGCATTTGAAGCAAGAGCTATCCCTAGTCCTTATGTATTCAATTAAAAACCAGTTTATTAGTTCCTTGAGAACCTCGTGAAACAGGCTTTGATCATGTTCATACCCCTCCCACAACTCTTGCCAGCTCCACCCCCTTTCCCTACCCATCCAACTTTTTTTTTTTTTTTTAGTTACCCACATCATCTTGGGCGTGTGGTCCTAATTGACAAGGTTTTGGCTACTATCTGCGCACCGTCTTTATGCATCTAGCTGTGTTTTGTTTGTGTCTCTTTGATTTTAAAATAGCGTGCTGTGGGGTTTTTCTCGGTATGGCAATGAAGCCATGTTCTGTGACCACAGGGATCCTGGGGGCTCCTCTGCTGTCAAGAAGTTCCAGTCTCCTCTGGTAGGCCGAATGCCTAGGACAATGCAGAATGGCTGACTTCAGCGTCCTTAACTATCTATTGGTCTGGTCCCTGAGGCTAGCGGAGATTCCAGACTTCCGGGAAGAACTTGGAAGCGAGGCTTGTTGAAGTGTCTTACTGAACCCTGTTTCTGATAACCCGATTAACCTGTTCCCTCCGCTTGTCTTCTCTTGCAGATGGTCACAAGAACAAAGAAAATATTCGTAGGAGGGTTATCTGCGAACACTGTAGTGGAAGATGTCAAGCAGTATTTCGAGCAGTTTGGCAAGGTAAGCACTGCCCGTAGGTGGACCGTGTCGCCCACGGGTGTGGGTGGATCCTCGGACGCAGCTACCTGGGCCTCTGCTCTAGCTGTGTCTTCTAGAACTGGGTCCTTGGACTTCCTGTCAGGATCTACGTGAAACTCCAGACGCTGCAATGAGAGAGTCTGACTTTGGTTGGCATGGAGCCTTGTGCGCCTGCAGGCACACACAGAGTGGCCTTTCAGTACCGCTTTGCTGCCGTTTGCCAGCCACATGGGGCCAGGACTGGGAAGGGATGTGGGGCTGTGACTCACAGGGCACAGGCGCCCACAGAAGCTGTGAGAGGTAAAATCCCATGAGCCAGGGCTGGGATTCCTCATTCCTTGTATTCCTGGAAGATGTCGTTCAGAAATGAGGGTCTCTGGGACCCTTGGCTGCAGAAAATTCCCTTGTTAAGTGCCCAAGGAGACTTGGGAATGATGGCTGCTGTGCTGATTATCATTCTGACCAGAGTGCCCATGAGACAGAAACAAAATAACTCCCTGTGGTAGACTGTTAGGACTAGGAGTCCTCAGTCAGGACGAGAAGGTGTGTGGGGGTTGGATAGACACGCAAGATGAATATCCATGGGTGATGTCTTTGTCAGCTGCTTTTTAATTGGCGAAGGAGGCAGTGGCATATGAATGGGTCCTTCCTGAAGGTGGCCATCTCCTCAGATGTCATGCTGCCCTGCACAGTGCCCTGCCGTGTGCCTTTGTGTGGTCTCCTTTCTCTAACTCCCACAGAAGCCATAGATCTCAGAGGCTGGCGGGTGAATGACTGAGCTGGCCCTCCACTTCCTGATTCCTTGAGTAATCGTGGGAGTTGTCATGGGAGCCCAAGCCTAGGACCGACCCCTTCCATCATAGGTCTGCGTCCTCTCTGCTGGCAGGCTGACGTGGCTAACTCTGGTATCCTGGGAAGGTGCCGTGCCCACTCAAAGCTTTTATCATTCATTTCCTCCCACGATGGTTGTCCTGTTTGCCGTAGGCCAGGACAAGGGCACTGCCACCTACTCGTTGGCCTGAAGGTTCTATGCTTTGCTCACTTGCCCAGGGCAGTAGGCAGCCATGACTCAATCACCATCCATGTCTCTCTCTATGTCCACTGCCTGAGGTGAGGGTGTAAGACCTTTACTTAGCTTTGAATCGAATCCCCCACCCCCGCCCTGTCTCTTGTATTAATCAATCTCTGCATGGATGGGAGAGACCATACAACGAAGAGAAAACAGCATCTTCCAGTTCAGCTATGCATTTGAAATGGCACGGAATTGCCCACCTAGGTGGGTTTTGAAGGAGGCCTTCCTCCTTCTCCTGAACATCCCGCCTGGGGGCTGACTCATTCTGGGTGGCCCCCAGGAAAAGCAAAGTGTGCTGATGGCCACCAGAGTCACAGGGCTTCTCTTTCCAGGAGCTGTTTATACTAGAGGGAAGCATCCATCACTGGCCCCTCCCCGCATAGGGAGAAGGATTGGAAGTAATTAAATGAGACAAGTCCTCCTTGTCTGGAGGGTGGGCCCTCTCACCATCTTTCTGCCTTCAAATTGAGTCCAGGGGTAGTGTTTGCAAACACGAGGCGGGATTTCTTTTTCGAGCCGTAACCTGCCTTGGAATCTCATAGGCCCATTTGCAGGTGTCAGGGAGGTTGCGGCTGCCTGGATGAGCTGTTACTGTAGTCCAGACAGGCTGATACTTGCCGCAGACAGCGCTTCTCTGCACATCCCCAGCCTCGCTTTCTTTCCTCTCAGACCTCTCCCTCTTCCTTCCTTCCTTCCTTCCTTTTTTTCTTTTTGCTGTTTCTCGTGAACACTTAGAGTGACTCACAGTGTCAGCCGTGGGATGCTCTGCAGCCTTTGGCCTTGCCCACGGCAGCTTTCAGCACCGCCCTGAGAACCGTTGTCCCTTTGTCTCGGCAGCAGCCACAGACCCAGACCATCTTCCCTAACATGGCACTCGCTGGGTCGGATGCTGCTCAGTTAATTGTGCAGTAATATTTGTGGATTTTCACAGGATGCATAAACTTATGGAGTGTTTTATTAAAGGACTAAGGAGGCTTTTGAATGTATCAAAACCCGTAAGACTCTCTACTCAGGAGCTCCTTTCATCCATACGCTCTGAGTATTATCTGGGCTTGCCTTCCGAAAAGCTTATTTGTCATTTGCTGGAGTCTAGTGTTCCGCCTGTGGCCCCTGGGGCAGGGTTCACTGCCTCTCTGGATTCTGGTATCATTCATTTGAATCCAGAATGATCAAAGTGGAGAGAGTCTCCGGTTAGGCCTTGGGGACTGTCAAAACCAGCCACTGCAAAAGGCGGTAGTGGGTAAATTGACACAACGATTTTATCCTTTGTTAAAGTCTATTCTGAGGTGTGTGTGTGTGTGTGTGTGTGTGTGTGTGTAGACTGCTACATGAAGTGTTCCAACAGCTTGCATGCACACATATATGCTTGTGCGAGGTTGTTTGGGACTGCCTTGAAGCAAATTGGCGAGGTACAAATTTACTGCCTCTAAGGAGCACTACTAACTGTCAAATGTCGGGTCAAACCATTTCCTTACATTATCTTGTTCAATTTTCCTCTGGGAGATAGATTGTGGCTCGCTGTGTTTCAGATAAACAGGATTTTAGTCCTGGCCAGAGAGGAAGACTTGGTGTCTCTTCAGTATTCACCAGGGGTGTGGGGTATGGGGAGGGTGGGAGGTAGAAGTGGGGGGGTGTTAAACTTGGGCTTCCACACCTTCTATCTGCATGGAGAAGATCGGTGTCCTGTAGCCTCCTTGATTGGGAGGACAATAGAGACCACAGGGGTTGAAGTTTGCGCGACAGTGCACACCCAGCTTCTTCTCCTCTTCCACATCTGCACTTCCATCTCGCTGCAGCCTCCATGCAGGGTGTGCCGCCCTTTTGGCTTCACTCACCATCATTTGCCGTCCTTTCCCTTTTTCTGTCTTGCCTGAGGTGGCAGCTGCTCGAACTGTTTATTTCAGGTGGCAGTCAACACGGACAGGACTGCTCTCAAGGGGCTGAGCTAAGGGGAGTTTAAATATGTCATTGCTGTAAGTGGAGTATTGAATCTCTCTCTCTCTCTCTCTCTCTCTCTCTCTCTCTCTCTCTCTCTCTCTCTCACACACACACACACACACAGAGAGAGAGAGAGAGAGAGAGAGCGCTTGAAATAACTTAGAATGGAGGCTTAACAGCCTTTTTTGCTTTTTCCCATCTTCCTCTCAGAAGACCTCCCCCATTAAAAGTGCTGGTACTTGTTTATACTAAAATGTGATCATAAAATGAAGCTGATAGCACAGAACTCAGCAAATTTAGAAGGCTGTCCTTCCCCACTAGGTGGCTACTTCTAGTGCCTTCCATGGAGAATGGCAAAGTAGAAGGTATTCCAAGACTTTCTTGTTGGGCCTGACCATGGAATGATCTCCAGCAATACCTTGGCAGACTTTGGTTCTGGCCTCAGTTTCCCTACTGGGGAAACTGTTGACAGATCTGTGAAGGCTAGAAAATTGCTTTGCAACCCATATGGTTTCTATTGTAGCTTCAGCTATTGTTGAGTGAAAATATCTGCAGCCAGCATGTAAACAGATGGCCATGGTTGTGTTCCAATAAAACTTTATAAAAACAAGCAGCCAGATTTGTTGACCCCTGAACTGAATTATTCCTAAGGCTGGTCTTTAAACTGTGGAAGTCCTGTAGAAAGTGTATAACTCTAAGTAGATAGATTATAACCCAGTGTATTTGCAGGCGAACAAAAGAATACATTGCTTACAGTAGCGAGCATGGTATGTAGTAAGCAAACAGTCCTCAGCACAGTGAAGTTTATTTCTGGGCTTCGTGATGCAGGGCAGTGCATCTTGATTTGAGACTGCATTCTTTATTTGGAAAAGGGCACTATTTATAATCTGGATTCTTCGTCCTATGAGTAAGACCCAGAAAAACTGAGTAAGTTACTTTCAGTCTTCCTGTTCCAGGCGCAAGGTCTAAATGATCAAAACTCGTGACGTTCCGAATTTAGTCCTAAGATAGTTTTCCTGTGTGCTGGTGTTTCTGCTTCACAGTTACATATGTTTGGTGCTAAGCTTTTAATGCATTTTAAAACGTGCGTTCAAGGATGCCAAGTGAGACCCGTGGCATCTCCACTGTGTGGGTGAGGAGAAAGAAGTTGCCTAAGGTCACACAGCCCAGGTAAAGCCTGGATGGGCACTTGTGGCATAAGCTAGCCTCGGCACTCTTGATAGAACCCTGCCTCCAGCCCTGGCAGTCTGTAGGTCCTCCTGCACAGGGAGCACGGTTTATTCATTTGTCAGAAACGCTGATCTCCAGTAATTTATTTAACTGCCTTGGTTATTCGGTGAACATTATCTGTGTTCATGATTTCATACATCCAAGAATGATGTATATGGACCATTCCCAAACCTGGCAGGTGACGGATGCTATGATGTGCTGGAGCAGAGCCACTCCAAAGAGCTCATCTCTTCACCAAAGTGCCCTGGGCTGGAGAAACTCTCGCTACACACCCGTTTCTCTTCTTCCCTCCACTCCTCTCGGGGCCCCTCCTTCAAGTTCCACTCTCTCACATTCTTGCAAGGGATTTGGGATCAAAGAGGACTTGAAGCAGAATGACCCCTTTGCCTTGTCCTGGAGAGAGCAAAAGTTTCCCACTTCAAATAGCTGCTCCCGAGATGCCAGGGCAGCTCCAGTGCCCAGCTCTGCCCAGCTCTGCCCAGCTCTGCTCGCTAGGTGATGCTGACTTTACAGGACTCCAGTGAGAACCATGGAGGCTTCCAATTATACTTCACATGGCGAGCTGTGTAATTAGTTTGGAAGACTTATGCTTAGTCATTGGTTTATCCTAATCGGCTTTGGCTTTTCCCAGCAACAAAGTGAGCTTATTTTGCTAAGCTGAACCGACTCTGCACCCTTTGTCTTGCCGTTTATTGTCTCATTCCTTTCATTCTGTTTTACTGCCAAAGTTCTGTTTCATTAG